GTGCGTAAGATCCAGCCACATCCTTTATAGAGTAGGATTGTGGGAGTGAGTAGAGACTGCAGTGATGTTTGTGGAGAGAGCCAATAATACTTCTCAGAGGACTTGGAATCTTCTCAAGGATTTGTTCAAACTCTGCCCTTTAGTATTTTTCAGACAGGGGTTGGGAAATGGCTGTTCCCATCATAAAGAAGCACCTTTGGGCCTCTTCTAATTATCTTACATTTGTAATTGTGCTCCGACCAACTGGCCACACTGCATTAACTACAACGTGTGCCCTGGTTAAACGGCAATCTCTACACCAGCAGTTCTGTCTGGTACCACAGGGAGAAGAGAAATGTGATAACACCGGGAGCTCCAATTCCAGCAAATTTCCAATGGTTATTCTCAGCAGAAGCATCTAAATTAGAATTTGTTTCCATTTAACCCAGCTTCCTACCTGTAGATTAAGAGATTTTCTTTCAGACAGCTCAGCAGGCTAAGCAGATCAACCCACTTCAATCAATTGTACCTGATGAAATCTTTGTTGCAACCCAGACTGAAGTCAACTTCTGGAGTTGGTTAGTATTTGATGAGACACCCACACCCTGTTCAAAGTAATCTAAGGCCCCTGCAATTACCTTTACTTTATTCCTTGATTAAGGAATCTATCTTCTGATACAAATTTAGAAGCAAATTTAAGAAAGGCACTAGTCACCTGGGAAGAATTGGTGCTAATGGAAAAAATTATATATCTTCATTCTCCTCATCCCCACTCTCTCTCTCTCTCTCTGTGTCTTTCTCTTTTTCAGGGTCAGAATGGGTTGATTTGGTCCAAAGAAGTAAAACTGAATTTCCTACAGTAACATTCCTTCAAGTACTAGTTGAACTATTAACTGTCTGTTTTGGTCAAAAAAGATTGTGTTGGGTAAAAATCTGACCTAGGAAATAAACAATTGGAAGGAAGTCCCCATATTAATTCCCATACTAATTTTTTTTTTTTTTTGTAATTATTTAAGCGAAGCTGGAGAGAGTCTCTAGATGTATAAAGTACTTAGTAGAATAAGCCTGAACTGGCATCACTTCTATTCTGGGTTTAAATGAAAAATTTCCATGTTAAAGATACAGAAAAACATCTGCAATGCCTTATTCAGCTGGGCACATTGAATATGTGATGATGCAAGACAATGAATCAAATCAGTGGCCCCCAGCACTTCATCAGTCCTCTACAGGCGACATGTGGGACTTCCGGAAGGCCCAGCAGTGACTCAGCGACTGGATTCTTTGGAGCCTAGGGGCTTTTTGTAACTCTTGTCTCCAAATCTGAGCTTACAACTTGGACACTTAAGCAAAAAAATAAAAAGACAAATATTCATGGGAGGCTGGTGTAGCAAATTAAAATTCTGGATTCATTCAGAAAAAGATATTACTTTCTTTATGGACAGGGATATACAGGTGGGTAGTGCTATAATGGAAGAAAAGGTCTGTTGCCGCTCCACAGCTGAGATCTGTCCCTGAGGCTTTGTGGTTTATCAGGGGATGAGGAGGTGGGTCCACTCCTTAGGTTAGGGATAAAGAATGCAGCCGTCTTTTTGTCACATTCGATATTATCGGTTTAACCAGAGGGCAGAGAAAAGTGACGCTATGTGCACTGAAGAACCACTTTTCCTGAAACTATCCCCACATTGTCCTGACACACCCCCTGATGTCCCCATCATCACGTCCACCTCTCTCAGGCGTTCTAGACCTGGTCATCTCAGCTGCCTTATGTCGCATATGACTCTTAGTGTACCGATCAGATAGGAGAAAAAAGGATATGGCTTTATTTGCTTGAAATCCAACTCTAAGACCCATACGTCAGGCTCATGAGAAATTCAGTCTCTGTCATTGTTAGGACTCCCTCTGTGCCCCAAGATTGTAAAGAGAGTCCTCACTTTGCAAAGACAGCACCAAACCATCAGGGAGAACCCTCTGATGGTGGGTTTTGAGTCTGCACCATTCAGCAGGGGAAGCCCCATGTCTCAGACTACCTGGTCCCTGCAGGTGAACTAGCTCAGCTGGCGCGGGGCTGGCCTGGAGCCTGAGAGGACTTGAGCAGGCTGGAGGCTGTCTCATGAGGATCCAGCCTCTAGTGGCCGGGCCAGGCATCCCCCCAAGATCTTGTCACAGCCCGAGAGTGCTGAAAGCCACGTGGGGTTTAATGCCTGGGACTAAGCCAACCGCGTCTCTGGGGTCTTGTCCTTTCCAGGAGTGGAAAGACATGAGGAGCCCTGTCATCCAGGGATAAGAAAACAACAGCGGAGCTGTCTTGGGTTAATTTCTTCCACAAACAGGCCCTGAGTCAAGCATTTGGGTCCAAACACGGTGTCCAAGGAAGCACTCCCAGGACCAACCAGTAAGGGTATCGGGAAAACAAGATAAGAAAAGGGATGAAATCAAACAAGACTGTTTTCCATTAAACTCCTAGGCTCAGCCTGAGCCCATGGGGGTTCTGGGGAATGTAAATTATACCTCGAGGAAGGGGAGTTGGGCTTTCGTACTTCTATACCCATCAGTCATTGGCTCTGGGCCACCCTGGGGTTGGTGAGGGGAAAAAAAAAATCTCCTAGGCATTTTTCAGCTCTCCGTATGGGCCAGAGAGTGCCATGCCCAAGGGCAGTCCCCTGAAGGGTGACAGTGCCAGCTCCCAGCTGCAAAGCTCACATGTGGAAGTCGAGGGATGGGCGCCCTGACCGGGAAAAAGATCTGGGGGACCGGAGTGGGGTACCAGTGGTGATCACTATAAGAGCCATCCTAAAGCCACCACATCTGCTCCTGTAAAGTGGCATCTCAGTGAACTATCTCATACAGCTGCTGTGAGGAAAAAAAAAAAAACAACAACCAAGAAGAGAAAAGGTCTTTCTTTAAATGTTTATCTGAAACAATATTCCAGAAAAAGGCACCTCTGATTACAGTTTTTTGTTCACACAGTAGCATATAGGGGAATGCTAAACTTAGTGTGTTTATGTTCCCAGGATGAGTTCTGAAAGTATCAGGGCAATGTGCTATTTATTATTAATCATGGACTATTTTATTTAGCAAAGTAGGAGCCTGATGCTCCCTCAGGCCAGAAATGCAGATGTTTAAAATTCTCCTTTGCATGAAAACATCCATGCCCCTGAGAAGACACGAAATGTAAAGCCCTTAAAAAATCAAATAGGAAAGAATCATGAATCTATTCAATGAGGAGATATAAAGATTTCTAAAAAGAAAATGAATAGGAGGGGGAAAAAAAAGATCATTTTGAAATTGAACCCTGGGGAAGAGCTCTGATGAGATATAGATGGCCTATGTGCCCACCAGGTAGATGCCCAAACTCAGAGAGGAAAGGATGGATGGAGGAAGTCTGAGAATTCTCTTCAAAAGCATCCGAGGCCAGTGTGCAGCTTTGGAAAGTACAGGAAATAAATGAGAGGGAAGAGAGAATAATGCCCAGTGGCCCTTTGATATAGGAATACAGCTTTAAGGCTCTTTTGTGCAGGATCAAAGGAGATGAATGGAGAGACACCATGGCTGGTACCCAGAAGTCTGAATGAATACACTAGATCCGGGCCTGGAAGCCCATCGCTGGTAGACATTACCAGGAGCCCAGAAAATGGGGTGAAATGTCACATTATGCTAGAATAAGCCCAGTAATGAGCCTTTAGATTTCCTTGTGGTGTTTTCTTTAAGGTGTATTAAACTTGGGAAATTGGCTTTTGAAGGCAGTTGGGTGCCTTGTAAATGAAGGTAAACAAAGGGAAAGGAAAGTTTGTGTTATTTCAATTACTTCTCCGAACCAGCGCAGCCAGGGTAAGTGCTATTATCCTGTTTTGCAGATGAGAAAGGCAAGGTTGGAGAGATTATGTAATTTTCCCAGGCCCTGGTTCTTAAGTGGAAGAATGAAGATATTTCACCCTTAATCCCTTCTACCTACCAACAGATACTATGTGTGCACCTACTGTGTGCTTGTTCTAGACACGGGGAACCAAATGATTACCTGAATCCTTATCTATCTGATCCTGGAGGCCATTCCTTTTCCCACCAGGGTCTAGCGATTAGACTTATCTAAATGATTTCATGGAAAATTATATTCCTCTATGATTATGCAAGATGTTAAAGAGATTTGCATGGGGTGAAGAGACTATGGGAACACACAAGAAAAGTCATGAAAGATGGAATAATGCCAGATTTAGAAGCTTAGCAAGGAGGACCCAAGCCATTTTTCTTGATACGTACATTTAAAATAACAATGGAAACAACGAAAAATAATAAACAACAAACTTTTATGATAACACTTTCTGATTATAAAACTTTTAAAAAAGGTATAAAGAAGTAAAAATTATTCTTAATGTCCTAAGCCAGGGATAATGAATGCAGTTATTTTAAAGTATGTTCTTCTAGTTTCTCCCTTTCCCTCTCCTCTTGGCTGCTTCATATTTATCTGACATGGAACTCTGTGAATCTGTAGGTTGATGTCTTTCATTGTAGGAAAATTTTCAGCTATTATTTCTTTGCATATTGTTTCTGATCCATCATCTCCCCTCTCTTTCTTGGATGCCAATTATGTGTATTTTCTTAACCTTCTCACTGTATTTCCTGTCCCTTATGTTTTCCTATACATTTTCACTTTTTTATCTCTTTGGGTTTCATTCTGATTTTTGTCTTCAGTTTATTAACACTCTTCAGCTCTAATTTGCTATTAGCTTATCCACTGAATTTTAACTTTCTGCCATTATATTTTTCAGCGCTAGTTTTTCTTTTGGCTATTTTCCAAGGTTTTCAGTTTTCTGCTCAATCTTGTCTTTTATTTTCTTGACTATGATCAGCAGAGCTATTTGTAAGTAGTGTCAGGTAACTAAATTACCTGGATCCTTTATAAATCTTTCTGTTGTTTGTATTTCTCTTGATTTTTCAGTCTTGCCTTTTGTCTTAGTCCACTGTGGCTGCTACAACAGGATACCATAGACTGGGTGCCTTAAACAATAAACATTTATTTCTCACAGTTCTGGAGGCTGGGAAGTCCAAGATCAAGGCGCCAGAAGATTCGTTGTCTGGTGAGGGCCTGCTTTCTGGTTCATAGATGGTGGAAGGAAGGCGAGAAAGTTCTCTGGGTTTTCTTTTATCAAGTAACAAATTCCATTCATGAGGGTTCCATCCTCATGACCTAATCAACTCCCAAAAGTCTCATCTCCTAATACCATGATACTGGGAGTTAGGATTTCAACATATGAATTTTGGGGGGGACACAAACATTGCATCTTCTATTGGATCATAACTCAGAAACATCACTTGGCTCTATCTTGATGACATTCCATAAGCAAGAACTTAAAACCAAATAACAGTTCTCAGAGCTCCCCATTCTAAGATCTTATCAAGTTTAAGTTGCACCATTGATTTAATTATAGCTTTTCTGGGGTCTTGAGTAAGGAAATACTACATAAAAAGTACATGTCACAGGTGACCTGATTTCAGAAATGTCAGATTATAAAAGAGTATGCATCTAAGAATTTTGGAACTTCTCAGTCTTGGGACATGGAGTTTGTGTATACTGATTAGGTTTTTCTTTAATTTTTTTCAAAAGACTCCTCAGTCAGAGAAACAAAGGCTCTGAATCATCCTAAATCTTTGTTACTTCCAAGGGCTCAAGAACTCTCCAAAGTCCCTGGTAATGAAACTCATATTGAGTATAGTAGGACTATGATCCACAAGAACCCTGGATATGGCAGATCGTGGGGTGGGAGCCTAGCAGACAATGGAAGCACTTCCTTCCAAGGGGAGAAAAACCCAACTTTGAGGTTTACCTGTCAAAGCCAATGGTAGAAAGGATTTCTTATCTTTTGCTGAGGCTGATGTGGCTGGATCATAGTTCATTTTCTCTCAGTATTCCAAGACTGGTCTTAAATATCACCCAATCCTTTCTTGGCCATGACCTCTAGCAAGGCTCACAATGGATGGGGAATTATACTTAAATTACACAAATTATAGCCTCACTGGTGACAGGTTCAAATGCCTGTCAGAGCCAGGCAGCCTGGTGGGAGCCCCCATCTAAGCAGAGTCACTTCTCAACTCCAGTTGGTTTTTGCCATGTGGGAATACAGGCCCAGGGCTTCCAGATACGAATTGTGTTAGAAACCAGTAGTACAAATCTTTATGTGAAACCCCCCAATTTTTATGTTGCAACTAATTCCATTTTTTAAAACTTGAGGCTGTAACACATCGTATTCTTGAGATGATTGCAGTCTGTGGGCCCCAGTGGGTGCCCTCTGGCTTCATGTTCAGCACTGAATGAGTCTGTGCTCCAAGAAGGCAGCCCCGTCACTGAAGCAGTACAGACTGCTGGCTTTCTCTGCCTCTTCCTCCCACATGATAGAGGCATTCCTAAAAAGATAAGCTGGGGTTTTCTGAGACCACTTGAAGTGTGAAAAAATGCATTTCCTTCCCCGTACCATCTCAAAATTTTTAAACAGCTTGCTTAGTGAGGTCTTTTTTTTTTTTACACTTAAAATAGGGGTTTTGGATTCACACAGCAGGAAAATTGCCGATATTACATAGCCCTAAAGCACACGGGGTACGATTAAGATCATCTGCTACATGGTCTGTGCACTGTCTTAGAACCAGTAATTTGGCTAATTGTAGCAATCTTGCCAAGTTGCACATAGGAAAGTTATTCATTTATTTTTCATTCTCAAATACTTTAGAGGTGTTATCTGAATGGAGATTCTTTTCTTGCCTGGAGGCAAGCAAGCAAGTTGCTTGGAAGATAATTGGGACAGTTACAGGGGGAAAAAGCATGTCAAATGTGCATAATTGCATTGCAGGGGGACTGTTTTATAAGGATGAGCCTAAGTCTTAGAAGAATGATTAAGAAGAAACCAGGGACACTGATAGAGTGATTGGTACCCAAATTCAATAATTAAAGGTTGGATTCTTTGGGGGACTCTCTTTCCTTAAGCAAGTCTTACTCAGTACCATGCTATAATCTATTTGGGAAAAAAAATGTTACCTGTCTGATAGAATATTTCCAGAATTTATCTCAAAATCCTGTCCAGTGCTCAGAATAGCTGCTGATTACTTTAAGTAGCTTACTTTAGATTACTTTAAGGAGTTAAAGAATAGAAATACCCCTGTAATGAATATTAAGCATTTAGACAGAAAGTTATATTTGGAGATCAAAGAATATTTGGTGTATCTCCACAATTATATTGTTCACTAGTATTTTTAACCTATAACTTTCAACACACTTATGTTCCTGGAGGTTAAATATAAAATCTAAATGCATGTCCTATATGCACTCTTGTTTCTCATCAGTTCTACTTTCTGGGTACAACCCATATAGGAAACTGAACAGTCTGGTTTAATTGCACAAGCTTTAGGGAATGAAGGAGATAATACAACAGCGTGGAAAAACAATAACTCTTATATAGCGATCATAAAATCTAGGTGAGATATTTATTTTGTCCAGGCCTGCCCAGCTCTCACAGTTTGAGAAAAAAATGAACAAGGTCATATGGGAGCCAGATTTGGTGTCAAATTTATTTATATAGAGGATGAAATATCTTTCAATTTAAGAACAAGTCATTATCACAAGGGGAAGACATGTCTAATACATGCATTTTCTATTATGAGATTTCTCTTGGCAAATCCTCGGAGCACCTTCGTTAGCAGGTTCTGTATCAATGTATTTTTAATTCAATGAAACATGAAAAGACTCTATTCTAAAATTGAATGACTCAGACTTGTAACATTTTTCCTTTTCTTTTATTTTCACTTCTAGTCCTTGAAGAAAGAAACTGCTCAGACCCTGGGGGCCCAGTCAATGGGTACAAGAAAATAACAGGAGGCCCTGGGCTTATCAATGGGCACTATGTAAAAATTGGCACTGTGGTGTCCTTCTTTTGTAACAACTCCTATGTTCTCAGTGGCAATGAGAAAAGAACTTGCCAGGAGAATGGAGAGTGGTCAGGGAAACAGCCCATCTGCATTAAAGGTAACTTTTCAGATGTTCCTGAAGTCTATATAGACATAAGTGGAGTTATTGGACTTTTGGTAGCTTCCATACATGTGTTTAAGCCCCTGGAAAAATACCTTTCTCCCTTAAGTTCTCCCTGGAACCATATATAACTCCTAGGTTGGAAACCATCCTAAAAACATTTGCTTCTTTTGGGGGGGCCTCAAGAAGACCTGCTAAGCTTAGTCACAGCATCTTGAGGTGATCAAGCATAGTGGCATAGTTATCAGAGCAGTTTAGGAAAGATGACAAGGCTGAGTTCTATATATGCAAATCCTAGGGCAAGATTGAGGCAATTTATAAGCATTTACATAGCTACCCTTATCTACTCTCTATGCAATATTAACTTAGTGCGAGAAATAAAAGAACAAAATAGACACATCATCGCTGCCAGCCAACACAGGGGGAGGATTGAGATGTCAAGATGTTTAAAAACAAAGACAGTCAGTAAGCGCTTGCACATTCAACGGACAGTCATAGGAACAGATGAGTGGTGTAAATTCAGAAAAAGGAGGGATCGACATATCTGAAATAGGGATTAGAGCCAGTCTGGAGAACTGGGAAAGATCTGTAGATGTGAAGAGGATATGGGATGATATTCCAGATGGAAGACAGAGGGGGAAAAAAGGGGTGTAGGCAGAAGCGACATAATCATGGTAAACCCGAAGTCAGGCAATCTGGGACCCTGGGAGGTAAATTTTAAGATGTAGGTTGGAACCAGAAGAAGGGAGCATGGAATAGAGACGTCTGAACCCTCCCCTCTGGCCTCGGGATGTGCAGTTTCTCATTGGATTCACTCACTAGTTGCTTCAGGTTAACAAACCCTCTCTTTGGAGGGCAGGCCACAATGATCTGGCTGTTTACTGGGAAGAAAAACATGTCCTTGTCCTAGATTATCCAGATAATTGCCTTAATCCTCCACTTTGCCTTCTGGGTGTTTGTCAACAACCTGAATCCTGGGAAAAAGAATGAAAGGGAATGGCTTGTGAAAGGAATAAATCACTTTAGACTTCAGCCAGAAGCGACCTTCATCCCCACCAGCACAGATTCTGATTTTTTATTTCATTAAGTATGGGAACGGTGTCACATATGTCCTTGGAGGTTTTTGTCAACTCTTCTCTTACAAATTAATACAACCAAAGTTCTCTAAGTTGCTAATTAGATGAATGTTGGCTGCCTGATTGGGAAAGTGAGATGGGAAGGACTCCTTTTCACTTGCGAAGAGAAAGAGAGACTTCAACAAAATTAAACCGGGCTTTGAATTGCCCTCAAGTGATTGTTAGGGCCCTTAATTGCAGAGAAAGGACAAGGGGAGTCAGTTACCGGAGACTTACCTATGGTTGACGCTGCTGTCAGATTTCAAATGGGAACCTCCTAATTACCTGTGTGGGCTTTATTGCAGAACCTTCACATTGACTTTTATTCCATTTTGGCGGTCAAGTTTGCTAATGCGATTCCCATTAACAGTTGATCCTAATCTATTAACTGATATTGTTCCAAATCACTTAGGTGGAGCAGATTTTCAGAGGTGTCTACTCCACTTGGGTTCTTAGAAGGGGCTGTCATTTTAGGTGCAAGGCAGCAAGCTCTTTTGCTAAATGAGCTGTTGAGGCTTGGCAGGTATGTCCAGCCTCTGAGAGCCTAGAGAATGGACACCTTGTGTCCAGAAAGGGTGGTCAGGTATGAATCCAAACGGAATGATGTGAACGGTGAATATGGAAAAGGATTAGGCAACATTGTTGTTTTGGGTTTTGTTTTTGTTTTTGTTTTTTCTAGCCTGCAGAGAACCTAAGATCTCAGACCTGGTGAGGAGGAGAGTTCTTCCAATGCAGATTCAGTCAAGGTGAGGTCAAAAACACCTGAACTGTGCTCTAAAGGCCAACAATAATTTATTTTCCTTCCATTCTCTTTCCCCTCTTATGTTTGGCCAAAGGCAGTCCAGGGTTTCTTCGGGACATTGAGTGCTAACCAGTCAGGAAAGAATAGGGGTTGTTAGATGAAAGCTCGTTAGCCAGCTGCCTCTAGCCAAGAGGTAGCAACTGTTGGAGAGTGCACAAATTTCACTGGGCCGTGGGAAAGTGGATGGTAAGTGAGATGCAAGACTTTCAGATGATCCTTGAGGAACTGGATTTGAATACTTGCGTTTTTCGGAAATTACTACATATTTATCTCGGCAGCTGCTAGGCATTTCTGCTCAACGCAGCCAGCTGTGCTTATAGGAAGATGATCTTGGTGGTAACCAATCAGCTGACGTAGTCTGGGGGCGCCCAGGAACTAGGGACAAATGAGCAGCCCTGCGTGCTGAGGGACGTGAGCCCTGGGGTATGCCCAACCTTTCTCCCGGAAACACAAAGGCGAGGACCACCTGCTGGGGAGAGAATAGGCCCATTTCTACTCATTTCTTCTCCTGCGTCCTCCTCTGTGCTCTCCCCACTCCAGCTACATGGGACTCCTTGGTGTTCCTCTGTCACTCCAGGCACAGTTCTGCTTTGGAAACCTTACACTCGTGGCTCCTTCTTTCTGGAACCTGCTTCCTTTGGATATCAAACCTCACTTCTCCCAGTTCTCTCCTCAGTTTTTGCCTGACAGTGAGACCTGACTGTCCCTTATAGCAAGCCCACCTCCACCCAGACCCTGGAGTGGGCCCCCTTTCCCCAGAGTTCTCTGGCCTTTACTATGTTTCTGTTTTCACCCCCTCCACCTGTTGCCTTATAGACCTATTTTTTATTTGTTCAATTGCTACCTCCCTCACCCTCCCCAAAAAGTAAAATTTACAAATGCAAGAATGTTATCTGTTTTGCTCATGCTGAAGTTCTAGTGCCTAAAATAGCACCTGCTGCATAGTAAGTGCTCTGTTAAGTATGAATGAATGGATTGGGTTGACAAACAAGGTTCAAGGCCTGGGTCTGCCTCTCTCTAGTGCTGGGGTGTTTGGGGGCAAGTTCCTAAACTTGCTGAGCCTGAGTTTCCTCTTGATAAGTAGGGAAAACCATAGCATCTGTCTCTGGAGATTGTTGTGGAGGATGAAATACAACATTAACAGCTACTATTTATTACTGTCAATGTTTGCTTTGTTTCCATTGCTCTTCTGAGTATTTTACATGTATTAGTTCATTTATTTCTCACTACAACCTCCGAGGTCGATATTATTATTATTATTACCATTTTATTACAGACTTTATTACCATTTTTTAACAGCTACTATTTATTATTGTCAATGTTTGCCTTGTGTCTGTTGCTCTTCTGAGTATTTTACATGTATTAGTTCATTTAATTCTCACTACACCTCCGAGGTCGATATTATTATTATTATTATTACCATTTTATTACAGATTGTATTACCATTTTTATTACAGATGGATAAACTGAGGCTCAGAGAAGTTCAATAACTTATCCAAGGTCACATTGCTAGAAGAAGTGGCAAGGCCAGGATGTAAATTCAGTATCTGACTTCAGGGTCTTTAAACCTTACATAAAACATTTAGCAAAGCACCTTGCACACGCCATCACTCGTCAGTGGAAGCTATTCTTATAAACAGTAACGATGAATCCCAGGGACTAGAATTGATTCCAACCAAGTGACCTGGACTATTCCTAAGTCAGGATACCCATCAGTCTCTCACCCCTCCTCAGACAATCTCATTCCAGTTTTGTCTTTCCCTTTTCGGGCAAGGCAAGGTATTTCTTAGGTAACAGTGGCAGTACAATCCAAATTCTGCCCACTTTTCTGATCTTTGTGATTTCCCTGGGCTGGCCTTTCCACTAAGTGGGAAGCAACCTGTTCTTCTCAAGGAGACATCTTGCAGAGGAGCCCCGGAGCTGTTCGGAAAGATCACTTCCTACTGGTGAAGCAATCTTAATGGGAGGTTAGGGGGCAAGGTGCCAGCTTTCTCATGCAGGCGAGAAAGGAGGCCTACGACTTGGTTTTAAGCATCTTTCTGAAAGGTGGGCTGTGGTCAGTCATGGAGGCCAAGACTATTTCCTGCATCCAGGCTCACCCAGGAGCCCCCAAAGGGCAGTGTAGACCTTCCAAGGCCAAGTGAGGGGCTTGTTTACAAGTTCAGAAGCTCCCTGAGCGACAGACCTGGTTACAAACAAAAGCTAAGGATTTGTTCAATGAAATCAATGTGCATGGAATATTTGCTCTGAGCCAAGCACTTTACAGATATGTGAAATAGATTTTTTATGATGACATCAAACTGGTATGGTAGAGACACCAGGGTGCAAATCATGACTGCTCAGCGCTGTCTTGGGTGCCATCTCGCTTTCCTGTGTGCCCCTGAGCACTCCCACTTGCCTCCCTGGGCTTCCACTCTCCAGCTCTCCGTTTATTAAATAGGGATGAAAACATAGGTTCCTAAAGGAATTCCACCTTTTCAGTTGACAACCATTATGTACCAATATAAAATAAACACAAGCTGAAAATGTGTGCACATCTTCCCGAAGAATCCTCCAGTGGTCCATTAGCCCTTCAACTTCAGGGCTCATTTAATATCCCTTTTCGCATTTCCACACAAGGCTTCATGTTTCTCCCAATCTATGTGCCCTGAAAGTTCTGTCCTCTGCGGTGTGCTAATTGCATCTGCTAATTGCTAAATCAAGCTACTGTATCAACACAGTTTAGTATGAGTCAATTCCTAATATTGCCCCATTATGATAATGTTTAGAGAAAGAAATACGCCTGGATTTCTCTCATTCAAATTAACTCCCTTTTCTGTTTAACGTTGCAATTACTTTGTGTGTGTGTGCGTGTGTGTGTGTGTGCGCATGTATGACGTACCTTCAGATAGCAGCTATTATGCCAGATATTACCCTCTTTGGTGAAAATTTTAAGCAGTTGGAATCATGCCAAAAATGGAAATGGAGGCATAAAATGAAGATTGAAGTGTGCAAGAGAATTTGCTCAGTGGTAGCGATGAAGTGTGTAAGTGTGTTCATGTATGTGTGAGAGAGAGACAGAGAGAGAGAAACAGAGAAAGAGAGAGACAGAGAAGGAGATAGCCATTTTTTTAAATTTTTCTGTAACCAAATATCTGCGTGGGGCTTGGCATAGATGCTAAAGGGGCCACAATGACTGTCTCTCGCCTCTCACCCTGCTCTTTCTTTGGGCCCATGTGCCCGATCCAGGGAGACTCCATTACACCAGCTATACTCAGCAGCCTTCAGCAAGCAGAAACTGCAGGGCGCCCCTACCAAGAAGCCAGCCCTTCCCTTCGGAGACCTGCCCACCGGGTACCAACACCTGCACACGCAGCTCCAGTACGAATGCATCTCACCCTTCTACCGCCGCCTGGGCAGCAGCCGGAGGACATGTCTGAGGACGGGGAAGTGGAGTGGGCGGGCTCCATCCTGCATCCCTAGTGAGTCAAGTCTCATCCTTGGGCTGGAGCATCTTCCGTATTTCTTGGCTGCCTGCGCAAAAACATTAGCCCCGTGGAAGACTTTTTTAGGAAAGGCTCTTTGTCCAAAGGAAGGGGTTGCCAATGCTTTCCCTAATTTGGTGATGTCTGAAGTTCCACAGTTAGATCTTCTTTCCTTTAGCTTGAACTTACTACCCAGGAAAAATGGACTCTTTACGCTTTAGAGGCATACTTTCTTGTCGATGGCTCTATCATATTTACTTGGAGAAAAGGGAGAAAGCAGTCATTAAACACCAAGTGAGGAATGGGTTAAAGCTGCCAGAGGGCCTCAAGTTATGCCATCTTCTCTACTTTGTCTAAGCCCCAGGGCTCACATTCATCATCCTGTCATATTAATTGAGTAATTGTTATTAATTAAGGGATGAGGTATCTGGAATAGGGGCTTGCACATGCCAAACTGCCATCCCATCTTCTCTTAGAAAGGAGAACAGCATGGCTTAGTTCATTGTGGTCATGTTTATGATTAGTCATGATATTTTGAGTCTTTACATACGTCATCTTCTTCAGTCTCCTCAAGACAATTGTTATTACTCTACTCGTTTTACAGGCAAGAAAACTGAGGCTCTAAGAGATTAGGCAACTATCCCAAAGTCCCATTGATAGTAAGTGCCTGGGATCGAAACCCAGGATTCATTTGACTGTAAAGCCTCCAATTTTAATTCTAGATTTTATAGCCAACCATGTCAAGGGGGGTTGATTACTATTTAAAGACAGAAAAAAAAAGCCACCAGGTTAGATGGCTTAGTGGTCATCACACCCCTGAGGTCCACCCTTCCAGATTTGTGCCCTCCTGGTTGAGTGCCACGTTCCCCTTTGAATGGGAAAGTCTGAGTTTTTCTTACTAAACTCGTGCTTTCTCCATAGTCTGTGGGAAAATCGAGAATGCCACTGCCCCAAAGACCCAAGGGATGCGCTGGCCGTGGCAGGTGGCCATCTACAGGAGGACCAGCGGGGTGCACGACGGCAGCCTGCACAAGGGGGACTGGTTCCTGGTCTGCAGCGGCGCCCTGGTGAATGAGCGCACCGTGGTGGTGGCTGCCCACTGCGTGACTGAGCTGGGGAAGGTCACCGTGATCAAGACAGCAGACCTCAAAGTCGTCTTGGGGAAATTCTACCGGGATGATGACCGCGATGAGAAGACCATCCAGAGCTTGCGGGTAAGAGGGCTGCGACTTAGAAACTAGGGCTCTCGCTCAACAAACTCCAAGCACAGGAGAGCAGTGACTATGCCAGCCCTGTCCCTTGGCATGTCAGCAGCCAGCCAGCCCAGAGCCTGGCACGTAGCAGTGCCCAATATTTCATTTTGTTAGATACTAGACAGGGGCACTAGAAAGTCAGTGCAGCCTTTTTTTTCCCCTTTAATTACATTAAAAATAAGATAGAGGCATATATCTATCATTGCTGTCACTAAAAGTTAATTACCTAAGAGTAAAAGACACATCAACTTCTCAAAGTGGTATATACCATAAGTTATAACAAATTAAAAATTAGAGAAATTATTTGTTCAATGGCTGGCTCTGCCTGAAACCATTGGTTCCCTGGATATTAAGATTTGTCATTGGACCCTCACAGCCTAGCACAGTGCCTGGCTGAAAGTAGATGATCAATAAATATTTCTTGGATGAAAAAAAAAAATTAATCACTTGTTATGTTTGAGCACTGTCCTAGGTAGGCTTTGAGGACATAGAGAGGGTTTATCCAAAATATTCCCAACCAGATTACAATATACTTCTCTTTCCCTGCCTCCCTCCCTCTCTTCCATTTATCCACTCATCTGCCTGTCCATCGTCCATCCGTCCATCCATCCACCCATCCATTCATTCATCCATTAAGCTCCCACAACGTGCTATTCTCTGCAAATAGATATAAAAAAGAATAAGGCATGGTTTTACTCTGAGCAGTCCCCAGTCTGGTGGGGGAGACAGACCAATATGTCATGATCAGTGTGACATAAAAAAAGCCTCAAGGAAATGCACCCCAATGCAGTTGAGGTAATAGAACATGCACGTAGAAAATCACAAGGTATCACAAGATTGTTACAAAATCACAAGGTTGTCTGCTCCTACAGGCCCCCATCAAAGAGCATGACCAGCAAAGGTTGGGAAAATCAGGGAAGATTTTTGGTAGTTTGCACTGGCAGTTTGCAACCTGGGGTTTGTGCCTAATGGTGCTAACATATTTTTTCGTTTATTTGCCAACATTGAAAGATCAGAATGTTGTCCGTCCCTTGCGTTTGCAGATTTCTGCCATCATTCTGTATCCCAACTACGACCCCATCCTGCTCGATGCCGACATCGCCATCCTGAAGCTCCTGGACAAGGCCCGCATCAGCACCCGCGTGCAGCCCATCTGCCTGGCCGCCACCCGGGACCTCAGCACCTCCTTTCAGGAGTCTCGCATCACCGTGGCCGGCTGGAACGTGCTGGCGGACGTGAGGAGTCCCGGCTTCAAGAACGACACGCTGCGCTCAGGGGTAGTCCGCGTGGTGGACTCGCTGCTGTGCGAGGAGCAGCATGAGGACCACGGCGTCCCGGTGAGTGTCACCGACAACATGTTCTGTGCCAGCCGGGACCCCACCGCCCCTTCCGACATCTGCACTGCAGAGACGGGGGGCATCGCGGCCACGTCCTTCCCCGGACGAGGGTCCCCTGAGCCTCGCTGGCACCTGGTAGGACTGGTCAGCTGGAGCTATGACAAAGCGTGCAGCCACAGCCTCTCCACAGCCTTCACCAAGGTGCTGCCTTTTAGAGACTGGATCGAGAGAAACATGAAGTGAGTCAGCCTCAGACGCGTCGAGCGGCTTTTCGAATTTTCCGTGCACTCATCTGTACGCGTGTTGGTACACCAGGCAGTGTGGACCCCAAGTGCGATTTTGCCCACGGACTTGGCTATGCCAGGGCTTTTGATTGCAGGGACAGAACTCAGTAGCAGGTGAGTAGAGCTCAGTTTCTGGTAGGCCACTGCCTCTCTGACTGCCCGGACAACCGTTTGGAAGACAGCAGCACTTGCAAGAACTGAGTTTCTTCAAAGAAGGCTATATGAATAGGAAAGAAAACCTCCCCCTTCAACTCACCTGGTGGCCATTCCCGCCTTCCAGTGATGCGATGTCATGGTCGGCTCCTGTAGAGTCAGGGTCGACCCGGGGAGGTCTGGGCTTCACGAGGCCTCTTTCCGGGCTCCAGCCAAACGCAGTTCCAGACTGCCTGCCTGCGGGGCAGCCCAGGGCTTGGGTGTGACATGGGCTTTTGTGTACGTGGCCACAGAACCGTCTGGTCGTTTCCCATCCCAATCTCCTGTACACATTTTAATAAAACAAGGGTTACCTTCTGACCTACAGAACAAATGTGCCAGACTCTCATTCCTGCATGCTGTTTCTCTGAGCTACATGCATTGGTATCGGGGCAATGGCGTGGTGATAACCCTTTAAAATAGAGCGGACAGTTGCATTAATAATTCCCAAATGACGGGTATGACAAGGCCAGGGCCATCTTTTCAGTACCAGCCCTTGGAGCGTGGAGGGTCATGGGGCTGGGGGAGGAGGAACATGGGTGTCCTGCGATGAGGTACCAACAGAGGGAAATACCAGGGATAGGGGGATTTCCATGGTTACCTCTGGTTCTCACCTTCTAGATCCAGCACAGAACCCTGCTTTGAAACTCTATCAGTCTTCACTGTATGTTTTCCAGCATCGGAACTGGAGTCACATAGTTACTTACACTTGCTTTAGATAATGCCAGGAAACTGTAGCTTTGCCTTTTCTATAATTTACATGATTTTCCTCTCAAGCCCCAGCCCCACCTCCCACTGGACAGTAGAGGAAACAAAATGAATTCAGTCCGATCAAATACCTTAAGTGATCTTTTCAGTAACCTCTCTCTTTTGGGTGACTTTCCCTTTTATCCTTTCTCTCCTTTTCTCCTCGCCAGGTATCTCTTCTCTAGGACGGTGCCTTGGGGACTCCTGAGTTCCTGCTGGCTCCTGGGCGATTTGCTGGCATTTGTTGCTGGCGGCTGTAATTAGTGTGCCTCTACTACTTTCTCTCTCTACTTTCACCGGGCCCAGTGGTCCCGCCCGCAGACTAGGCTCCTCAGCTCTCAGGGAGGTACCTGTACTCCTGACATCTTGTGGTGACTCCTATTGGACCCTCGTTTGGGTAGCTCAACCTCATGGCCACAGTGACAACCTTCTCTGGCTACTGCCCAGCCAGACTCTCAGTGACCTCCTCTGCCTCCCTTGGGGGCTTGTGGGAACTTCTCGGTCTTGTCCACGCCACGTGGGAGCTGGGAGCCCGGGCTTGTTGCAGTACATCCCTGAAGATGTCATGGTCCTCCGCCTCCTATAGACCAGACAGGACCTTCACTGTTTCCTCAGCCCATCTCAGAGAACTTTGACCTCCAGGACTTTAGCCCTGGGACAGGGAGGCAAAGACATGCTTGTCTCCCAGCCTAACTTCCCATCTCTGTGTCTTGACATAATCCCCTTAGCCATGAGATAATTTCTTCTACTTTCTCTGTCTGTCTTCCTTTCCTAGGGCTTTGCAAAAGCCACATCCTCCTCCTTTCACCCAACCCTCTGCGCCCATTCTCCTGGCTTCATCTAAGGGAAATGTATTAGCTATCAGTTGTTGAGTACAAATGACCCAGCACTTAGTGGCTTAGTCAATGTTTCTCCTCTCACAGTTTTAGTGGATCAGGAATTGGAGAGCAGCTTACCCTGAGGTTGCAG